AACCAATATAAAATCCTTGGTAATATATTCATCTTAATTGTAGATATTCTCCCTAGTAGAGATAACTGTAAGTTTCCCCATTTTTTTCAAATCTGTCATGATCTGCTGTTTGAGTTTATAATAGTTATCTTCTTTGAGTGTTCCACATCTTGCTGTTAATTGTATTCCTAGATACTTAACTTTGTTTGTGATCTGGATGTTCAATTTCTCTATCAATTCTTTCTTTTGTTTTTCCACCATATTTTTATCTTTACCATATTTTAGTTTTATCTTTATTTATTTTCAAACCTGCTACCTGTTCATATTCTTCAATCTTTTCTATCAGTTTGGGTGCTGTTTTTAATGGTTCCTTTAGTATGAAAACCAGATCATCTGCGAATGCTTGTAACTTGTATTCTTCTTTTTTATTTTCATTTCCTTTATTTCACTATAATTTCTAACATTTCTATTTAGTACGTCCAAAATCAAGACAAACAGCAGAGATGTCAGCAGGAATCCTTGCCTAGTTCCTTTTTTAATATTGATATTATCTGTTAAGTCTCCATTTATCATTACTTTGGCAGATTGCTTATGATATATTGCCTTTATAGTTTCAATAAATTTTCCACCAAATCCCATTTGTTCCATTTGTAATATCATAAACTTCCAGTTTACATTATCAAAAGCCTTTTGTGCATCTAAAAATACCAAGGCCATTTGTTTCTTAGGATGTGTTTCATAATATTCCAAAGTATTCAAAATTATTCTCATATTATCCTTGATTTGCCTCTTTGGTAGAAATCCATTTTGATCAACATTATAAAATTATTCAAGAATCTCTTAAGTCTTTCTGCCATTTTTGAGGCAAAAATTTTATAATCTGAATTCAACTGGGAGATAGGCCTATAATTTTTTATTTGTTGTAGATCAGTGTCCTCTTTTGGTATGAGGGTAATGTAAGCCTCTGTCCATGAGTTAGGTATTTTAGTTTCTGACAAAACTTCATTCATCATTTCAAGCATTGGGATACTTAAAGATTCCTGTAGAGTTTTGTAAAATTCTGCTGGCAACCCATACAGGCCCGGGGCCCTTCCAGTATTTTGTCTCTTCAATGCCTCAGTTAGTTCCATCATCGTTAATTTCCCTTCTAACATTATTTTGGTATCCTCAGGTATCTGAGGTAGCTCCGATCTTTGCAGCTTTTGTTTAACTTTTTCTTCATCAATATTCTCTTGGTTGTATAATTTTTGGGCTGGATGGACTTCTGATGCATTAGTAATGGTGCAATATTGAAAAGGGCATTGACCGCAAGATTTGTACCAATTTTTAGTACACAATGAAAAACCCACTGGGAATTTCCATTTGGATTGTAACCACTTGAATCGGAGCCTCCAATTATCAGGAGGAAAATTGCTCATAATGATTCTTAATTTATTAAGTGCTACATGTTGTAACCATTGTTCAGAAAATTGAATAAAATAATAATAAGATTAATACATGTATCTTTTTCTCTTCCCCAGAAATCTATTTATTTAGGTATGAAGTGAATTCAAGCATGTAAATTTAAAATATCCACAAGGATTTAAATTTGCCAATACCTAATCTGTCTATGACTATAACTGTCTATAATAGTAGATATCAAACATTAAGATGTTTCTAACCAATTTCTTTTTAATTGGGTGGGCTACAAATCCTCAATTTATGACCACAATTGAGCCAACATTTGTGTTGCTAAGCAAGACATTTGCTAAGTGAGTTTTGCCCCATTATATGATCTTTTTTGCCACATTTGATTAGTGAATCACTGCAGTTGTTGAATTAGTAACATGATTGTTAAATGAATCTGGCTTCCTCATTGACTTTGCTTGTCAGAAGGTCACAGAGGCTGATCACATGATCCCAAGGCATTATAACTATCATAAATATGAGTCAATTGCTAAGGGTCTTGACTTTTGATCATGTGACTATGGGGATGGTGCTATAGACATATGTGAAATTTAATTATAAGTTACTTTTTTCAATACTGTTGTAACTTTGAACGGTCACTAAATGAACTGTTGTAAGTTGAGGACTACTGTCATAAACATCAAAAGCTTACTCAAATGCAAGTGGAAGAGATACCATGATTTTTATGTGACATGAATCATATAATCTGTAAATCTAGCACCAAATTATATTCATCATACAACATTCCATACACCCAAATAGAATGAACAACGGGTTTCATAGAAATAAGTACATTTCAGTATTTTATTCCCTCCTGCTTAGCCAAATCCTATTACACATATAATAAATGATTTCCTCTGATAGTGTAAAATGGCAGTGACAACCACACATACAGGAATAGCAACTGTGTTGATTCTCAGGTTAGATAATTTGCCCCTAAATAGTTTGATCCTCTAACATTTATTTTTCTACAACGAACCAAAAGAGATCACTACAGTTTGTGTCAGGATTCCACAGAGCATATTCAGATAGGAAATAAAGGCACATTTGAAGGTTGTTACAAAGAGAAAGATTTTTATGATTTCAGTGTTGTTTGATATCGCCTATTCTCAAAGGGGGGAACAGGGAGGGCTGTTATCTCCAGATATTGCTGATAAGCACAAATGCTACTGTATATTTCCTTTATAGGCATGTCCTTATCCCCTAAAATCAAGATCTACTGATTCTTCTTTATTTACATTTTCTATTTATTTCACAAATTGCAAATATTATTTGATTGTCTTTCTCCATGGACCAAACATATAAATTACGAACTATCTCAACAGATCATATATTGGAGAATAGAAATGCACTTTATGTGTTCATGCTTAGAAACTTCCAAACAGATTGGATATTGGTACAGTAAAAAGAATAATATCAGAGGTGGTGTTCAGCAGGTTCTGACAAGTTCTGGAGAACTGGTAGCAGAGTTTTTGAGTATTTCAGAGAACCAGCAAATACCACCTCTGACTGGCCCCGCCCCCATCTATTCTCTGCCTCTTGAGTCCCAGATGACCGGCTGGGTCTTTTTTTTTTTTTGAAACAATTTTATTGGTTTTTAAAGACAAACAAAAACAAACAAAACATAAAAACATCCAGCTTTCTTTCATAAATATACAAGCAGTGTGTCAGTTGGTTTACCAATTTTTTGTGTATCCATTTCATAGTCTCAATTACAGTTACATTGCATGATAACTGATATTATCAATCAAAGATTAAGTACCCTAGTATCACTATTAAACAATCATTTGACTATAATTTTATTCCGTCATACTTTGCGAGATAACTATAATTTACGTAGTTTATTTTATAACAATTCATATAGTCCTACCAAATCTATCCTAAAAACATTTTATGAATACGATATATATATATTCATTATTTTCTAGAATTCTAGATATTCTATTATTGTATTTTATTATCTAACCATTGATAGAAAAGGTCCCAAATTTTATAAAATTGTTTATCCTCTTGTTCTCTAATTTCAAATGTCAATCTACTCATTTCAGCACATTCCAATATTTTCTTAATGATTTCCTCCTGCAATGGTATTTTCTCATTTTTCCAATTTTTAGCAAATACAATCCCAGCCACTGTTAATACATTTACAATCAGGTATCTCAAATCTTTACTATATGTATCAGGTAAAATTCCCAATAAAAAAATCTCTGGTTTCAAGTCTATGTGTTTCTTTGTCATTTTTTCCGGCCACATGTGAATTTTAGTCCAATATTTTCTAGCATCCTCACAAGTCCACCACATATGGTAATATGAGCCAGATATCTGATGACATTTCCAACATTTTTTGGATTTATTCTTTAACATTCTTGCTATTCTTGTCAGGGGGAAATGCCACCTGTAAAACATCTTATACAAATTTTCTTTATAAGCTGTTGACATTGTCATTTTATAATTTTGAGACCACAATTTTTGCCATTTCTCTAAACCAATCCCATGTCGGCTGGGTCTTCTTTTGTTGCCCTGCACAGGAGAACAGAGCTGGAAAGCAGGTTAGTGGGGTGGGAAGGGAATGGGGATTTTGCAGTAACCTTCCCTTGCCATGCCCACCAAGCCCCATCATGCCCACCAAGCCACGTCCAAAGAACAGGTAGTAAAAATGTTTGAATCCTACCACTGAATCATATGTTATCTTAATCTATCCAGGTAAAACAAAACAAAATTGAAACAAATACTTCCCATTTTCATTTTTATTCATAAGATTTCAGCACCATCTAACTGAGAGAAGCAAGACACACCTTTCCAGATTCTCTGTGAACATAGGAGTAGAAGAAAATAGTCACTTAGAACATAAAAACATGAAAGTTTTGACTTATGTCCTCATTTGTATTGCCAGAAAATGCTGTATACTTAAGTGTCTTGGGCAGAAGGGTTGAAAGTAAAGAGGCACAGGAATATAATAAATGAGTAGGTGGCATTTTTTATATGGCTGCAATTTACATTGACTGATATTAAGCAAGTCACTCTGTTGTTAAGTGAGTCACTCTGAGAATGAGATGGGTGATAGCTAAATTTAAATAAATAAAATAAACATTAAAGGGAATATTTCTTTTAATTGCTTCATTCAAAAAATAATGTAACAAATAGATGAATTAACTTCTATGTTTATGGTGCAAAGGTTTAGGAATTTGGAAGGCTTAAAATACATTGCTACAAACTGATTAGTTCAGCTGTAAAGGGTTTTTTGTAGTAGTTTTTAATCATCATAGGAACATTAAAATGTTAATACTGATTTGTAAATAACTGGCTTTATAACTTTACTCTCTCCCTGCAGGAATTGTCTTGCCATAATTATAATTAAGGAAATTTTAAAGTGTAATACTTTTTGCAAAGTAAATGGAATGTACTAATTCTTCAAAATTAAATAAGAATTTAAAATTGCATCCCCCCCCCCCACCATCCCCCATTTTACTGAACTGATGAAGATTCCTGTTGTGCTTGAAAACACATTATTGCATTTAGGGAAATTAATGCTGTTTTTAACCAATTTTTATAATTTGTATTTTTGTTCCATGCAGAAACTCAACCTACTGTATGAAGGTATCCATTTCACTGACAGTGGGTGAAAATGACACTGGTCTGTGCTACAATTCAAAGATGAAATATTTAGAAAAAGCTGAACTTAGCAAAAGCAAAGAAATTTCATGCCCCGATATACAGGATTTTTTAATACCATATAGAGAGCCAGAAATCTTATGGTATAAGGTAAGAAATGTTACAAATCTTGAACAAAATATTACATGTTTTCTTTTGCTCCAGACCCTATAAAAGAGGAGGTAGAATTGCACGTATGTAAAAGACCACTATATTACTACAGAAATGCATGAAACCAAAGACAAAAACCTCCTAGAATGCATATGGGTCAATATAAAAGAAAAAAAACAATGACATGGCCACAGGTGTATACCGGAGGTTGGCAGTCTGCGGCTCTGGAGCCACATGCAGCTCTTTGGACCCACTGTTGTGGCTCCCTGTCGCCCTATCGTGGCAGTGTCATGGCCAAAACCTTAATGCAGGAGCAAATCACTCCTGCACTTGCCTTTGAATGGCAACAGCATTCTGCCTTCATCGTGGTACATTTGCAGTTGCCATCAGCAAAGAGGGCTGACACCTGAAGGCCAGACAAGGAATAATGGATGGCAACTGAACAAGGAGAGATTCAACTTAAAAATAAGGAGAAATTTTCTGACAGTGAGAACAATCAACCAATGGAACAGCTTGTCTTCGGAAGTTGTGGGAGCTTTCAAGAAGATATTGGACTGCCATTTGTCAGATGACCTACAAGTTTGACTAGATGACCTACAAGGTCCCTTCCAACTCTGGTAATTTGTATCTGTGTAATTAGAAAAAGGTTAACTGAAAAATGGAGAAAAAATGGAAGCAATGTGATATTTATAAATGCAGTAGGTAATTTTTTGGCTACTGAAAATGAAATTTCTCTGTTTATATTTTCACTTTTATACATAGCTACTACATTCTTTATATATTACAAAATACATTCACATTCAGTTATTCAGCAATTAGATAATAAACACATTCATAATACATAGTGATATAGATTTTAGAAATCTAGGTATATAGTTCTAATAAGACATTTCTGTGCGTAAATGAAAAAAATTAAAAGATAAATAAAATAAACCATAATTTAGGTTTTAAAAGTGAGGCTGCAAGGATGGACACATTGCAATTTTCTATTTTAATAACTAATGTCTCAGGCCTTGGCTCCTGTAGATGATATTTAATACTGTACTGTTGCAATGACAATATGCCTGATCTATAAATGAATATGTCGCACTCTTTAAATATATATTTTTATCCAGTTGCCATACCCAAAGAAAGCTATTTTCTATGGAAGAGGAAACAATTGCATCATTTTAAACAAATAAATTTGCCTCATTCTCTTAATAAAATAAAACAAAATCCACAAAGAAAATGCTTTCTATTAGGGTTAGGATTAGGACTAGGTCTGATCATGAGAAAATCTTAGAAGCAGATATGAACTACAGCAGCATAAGAAGGACCACGAATAAAGGATCATGCAAACAAGTACAGTACTATTGGAACTATTCAGCTGTGATTCAGTCATGAAAGAATAAACCATGGGAACTTAAGCAATTCAAGAACAATGTAGCAGCCAATAACTATTTTAGGAATGGTTGTGGTATAGATTATGCTTCCTTCATTTCCTCTTCTCAATTGCATTCCAAGAAAGTGGGGGAGGATTAATATGTTGCTTCTTTGTACTGATGAAATCTACTCTGGACTAAGAGGAAGGGTTTGAACTCCCTTTATCTAAGCTGCATGTCTGGAGGGATATCAGACCCTGCTTTGAATTTGATTTGCTGTTTTCCTTTTTAATAAAGAATTCCTTTTGAAATACTCAGTTTTGGACTGATTTTTAAAAATCTAGAAGCCCTGAAAACTCCACAGAAACTCCCCCCAAAACAAGGGTGGGTGCAATATTTTAAATGTTTTAATTTCACTCTCAAATATCTCTAAATAGGGGGAAAAATAATTGGCAGATGCTCTGTACAGGAAACCTCAATACAACAACAAAAAGATTGAAATTCTAAAACCCATGATCCAACAAACCCAACTTGCAGCCAAAGTAATCACCAGAGTACAAGGGAAGAAAGAACCACTTACTGACAGTGCAATGATTTCCAAATTTAAGGAGGAACTACTTAAAGATGACTGGCTCCAAGCTAACAAAAACACTTGCTTACTCAAAGATGGTCTAGCCTGGAGTTCAGTTGTGCTCCTGTCGAGTTGGAGCAGAATCTGCAATCATGCACAGTTTTGCTCTGTACTTGCTTGTTGGAGGGTCCCATTTGGGACAGGAACCACCCTGGAAGAGGGATCCACTGTAGGGTTGAGGGGAGCCTCATCTCCCCTCTCCGACAAGGAAACCCCCCTCTGAAAATAAGTTGCAGCAGTGGTCTAAAATGGCCACCATGAAAACAGGAGACAGTCCAGGAAAATAAGACTGTGCTGGAGTGGTAAAGCTGTGAATGGTGTGGGAACCAGATGAAATACATGGACTTTAAAAGGTACCTCGGAATTTTTTTAAAAAAGAATTTTTTAAAGAAGTTTGTGGAAGCGGTGACCAGAGAGAGAGAGAAGAAAATTGGAAATTTGTGAAATTGGCTTTGGATTTTGAAAAGAATTAATTTGGAGATGGAAAATCTAGAAGAAAATATTTGACTATAAAAGACTTGGAAATTGAACTGGATAATTATTTGGATTTTGGCATTAAATAGGCATTAATTAAATGCTGGAATTGAACATGTTAAAAAGAAATAATAGCTAATAATTGGAATTAGCAAAATTAATTAAGCTTTAAAAAGGAAAAAGCAATAACAAAGGGTGGAATGTGGAAACAATTCCTTTACCTAATGGTAAAGGAAAAATTTCAGTGACTTTTTGAAAAGTGCTTGGTTTATTTAAAATTGGAATTTGAAATGAAATAAGAGGAATTATATTATAATTAACAAAAAAAAAAAAAACCAAAATGAAATACAATATTACAGGGGAAAAAAGATACATGAAAATTTTATTGTAAAGAGATACAGGAAGATTTTACCCCGGATTTGACTATTGGTTTTGAAAAGGACTTTGAAAAGAAGCAATTGAATCGAACTGAGATATAAGATATATATGTGTGTGTTGACTGCTCTGATAAAATATAAAAAAGAAAAGACACTGGTTGAAATAAATTACTGGACATTTGGATTGACATATGAGTGGAATATACATGGAAATAAAGTTGGAAAAAGTGCGAAGGATATGAGGAAAGAAAGTTTGGAATTATGGAGTACAATGCTACAAAAACTGGAAATGGTGATGCAAATCAAAGAAGAACAAAGAGAACCAGAAGGGGAGTTTAATAAAGAAGAAACCAGCCTTAAAAAACAAGTGGAGCAACGAACGCTAAGACAGGATAAAAATAGTTAAAATTAAAAAAATTAAGGGAAAATGCAGGGAAACTTTGCTCTGTTCCCTGTACTGAGTTTTTCACTTTGGAGCAGTGCTTGGACCTGCAAAGCAAGTGGAAACTCTCAGAGACAGCTTGGAAGATTGTGATTCCCAGCTGAGCAAGCCAGAGAGCCCGAAGTTTGGAGTGGAAAGAAGCTGGCCATAGGGCAGACTTAGAGATGTGTCAAGCTGACTGAAGACAGAAGGAGAAAGAGATGGCAGTACAGTAGCAGCAGGCGAGCTATCAATACGATAGAGGCTGGAAGATTGACTTTGGAAGTGAGTTGGAAGCAACTTAAAAATGAAAATTCCAGAGTGGAAGGGGCGAGTGTGGAAAGTAGGCAGCAGTGGCTTGATTTTTGCTTTACCCTCTGGCTCTGGGAGAAAAATGGCACCTTGAGAAAGAGTGATTAAAAGAGAAAAAAGGACTAGATGAGAAGAAGAAGGAGGTTTTTATTCAGGGAAACTGCCTATTGAAACTGAGATTGATTGTGAATTCCAACAGTGGAGAGAACTGGAAGGATGTATGTGGAGAAATAGAGAGTGGATGAATGACTGTTCAGATCACAGGAGACCGCCATTGTGTGAGAGAAAACTGAAGAACAGGAAACAGAAGCAAACTGACAAGTGATGAGCAATAGAGAACTTGACTATATAAATTTGTACATTTAGATTAATATTAATGACTATATCAAAAACTTTACTTTTCCTTATTTCTACTATAATTATAATATCTATTTTCCTCTCTTAGTAAACTATTATTGATTTTATATATGTGTGTGTGTGTGTGTGTGTGTGTGTGTATGTATATGTATATGTATGTACATATGTATGTATGTATGTATGTATGTATGTATGTATGTATGTATATGCAGGTCTTGGCGTGTTCGAGTCTTTTCCCATGTAAGATTGAGAGCATCTTGGCAATGTTTTGACGAGGTCCCACTCGCCATCTTCAGGCTGGTGCTTTCGGCTTTGTGCTTTTGAGAGCAAAGTGTGATCGGAGCTGCCATCTCCCTATATATACTGGTGGGGAGGTTGGCTGTGTTCTCGTTTCTTGATTGGTTGATGGAGTTGATGTTTGCAAACATATATAAATATATATTTGTTTTCTGAGGTTTTTGCGGGTCTATATTTGTGATCTTTGGTTATTTGGGTTTTCTCCTGCGTAAAATTGGAAGCATCTTGGCAACGTTTGACGAAATCTCATTTGTCATCTTCAGGCTTCTGTCTTCGGCTTTGTGCTTCTCGGAGTAATGTGAGCTTGCAGCTGCTTCTTCCTTTTAACTGCTAGTGGGGGTGTGACTTGATTGGGTGGGGGCTTGGCTGTGTTCTGATTGGGTGGGGGTGTGTTCTCATTGGTTGGGGGTTTGGCTGTGTTCTGATTGGCTGGGGGTGTGTTCTGTTCAGGTGGGGTCTTGGTTGTGCTCAGGTTACTCTTAGTTGTCAGGGGATTTGAGCTGGTGAGCTGTGATCCTGTTGTTTGGTTTCACGTTCGTGATCATGCCACATCTTCATGGTGGGCGTCCGTTCGCTTCATGTATGGGTTGGAGGGGTTTGAAGCGGGTAGTGATGCAGCTGCGGTACGGCTTCTGGTCCTTGGTCGTGTCTCATCATCTGTGTGGGTGTGAGTCTGCTTTCTACGTGGGGGTGTGGTGGTAGCATCTTGTGTGGCCCTCATGGGTGTGGGTCTGGTGTCATTCTTCATGTTAGGTACTCATTTGTTAGTG